CTGTTAGTGGAGTTGTGAACTGAACCAACTGTTCTGGAAAGCAAATTGGAATGATCTAGCAATACCATTACTAGGTCTGTATCCCAAAGAGATCAGAAGAAAAGGAAAAGGACCTATATGTGTAAAAATATTTATACCAGCTTTTTCTGGTGACAACAAATTGGAAATTGAGGGATGCCCATCAGTTGGGGAATGGCTGAACAAGATGCTCTCAGAAAAACCTTGAAGACTTACATGAACTGATGCAAAGTGAAGTGAGTAGAACTAGGAGAACCTTATATACAATGTTGTAATGATAATCAACTGTGAATGACTTAGCCATTCTCAGCAATATAATGATCCAAGACAATTGTGAAGGACTTATGATGAAAAATGTATTCCCCTCCAGAGGAAGAACTGATGGAATCTGAATGCAGATTGAAGCATAACTTTTTTAAAACTTTGGGGGTTGTTTTGGATCTCTGTTTTCTTTTACAACATGGTTAATATGGAAATATATTTTGCACAACTGCATATATATATAATCTGTATCAAATCGCTTGCCTTCTCAAGCAGGGGACAGGGGAGGGAGGAAGGGAAAGAATTTGGAACTCAAAAATTTTAAAAATGAATGTTAAAAATTGTTTTTTATGTGTAATTAGAAAATAAGGTGTAAACATTTTCATGTTTATTTTTTAAAAATGCTATGGTCATACCTAATACTGTAATAGCAATGAGAATGCCCTCTAGCTACCAAGAATTGGTAGTCAGTCAGGAAGCTGGAAACACAGATGATAAATAGAATATTCAGGAAAAGCACAAGTTGAGTTTTGTCATCCTAGAAAATCTTCTATATGAACAGAAACTAAAAGAATGGCAGGCTTAGATCAACCAGAGATAACCAAAAAGATAGGGACAAAACTGCCGGAAGCTGGTCCAGCAAACACAGCCACTCCTCTAAGAGGGATAAAGAGACTGAGGCTGGCCACTCTGGGTACACTGGAGTGTACAAAGATAGACTAACCTACATTTTGCTATAGTCATGGATAATATGGTCACATGCATGCAAGGTACAAGAACTGATGGTCCATGGGACCAGAATTGAGAAATAGAGTTAATGCTGGAGCTGCTCCAGAACTCAAAGAAATTAGCTCTCTCCTGCATACCTTTCCACTTGCAATTATAGAAGCTCATTTGGCAGCAATTATGAGGACTTCAGTAAATCCTACTGCTTCAACAGTAGATTCTAAGCAACAAGAATCATGATCTCTTTTAAGAACTTTGGAATTGATTGTGTGACATGGGAGACATTGGCCCTCATCAGAGAAGGTGCTGTGCTCTATGAGCAAAGCAGAATTGAAGTAGCTCAAAGAAATACAAGATGCACAAATTTAGAGAATCCACCCCAAATGTTCACATTTGTGCCTGACCCTGTGGTAGAGCATTCTGAGCTCATATTGATCTGATCAGCCGCAGTTGGATGCACTGTAACTTGACTCTAACATAGTGATGTCATTCTGGTCCTCTTCAAGAATGAAGGAAACAACCAACTTTCTCTGACTTCTCTTTCTCTGCTCTGACTTCACTTTTCTCTCTTCCCAATTTCAACCCTAGAGGTAATCAGGTCAGCAGAGTACTATCCTTTATTCTTGAGACCCTTACCCCCTAGTCCTATTGTTGCTCATCCACTGTCAAACTCCCAGCTTGGATTACTTCCACCAATTGTCTCTTCCACTCCCACTCATGTGTTGCTGAATGGAGCTAGAGGAAATCACGCAATTAAACTGATTGAATATACTACAAATTTTTGTTAACTAACCTTAATAAAGTGATATTTTTAATCCTAATTGATTGCCTATCTTATTCCCCAAAGAAGTCATTCCAAACATTCTCTTCTTTCCTCAAGCCTCTCACACAGCCTCCTCCCTTGCCCTTTTAGCTGAATGCCTTGCCTTTTATTTTACTAAGAAAACTGAGAACTTTCTATATAAGCTCTGTTTTCTTGATCTCAAAACACTTTGTATCATTCCCTATTCTCTCTTCCTTTCTTTCAATCTCTGATGATGGGGTGGCCTTTCTCTTTTCCAAGGTCTTTGTGTGTTCTTGATCCCGAAGACTGGCCCCTCAATCATGTTCTCCTCCAGTATTTCATGTCTTCTTATTTATTGTTTTTTTTTCAAATATGCCAAGTCTATTCTATCCATAAAAAATGTTCACTACAGCCTGTTATCCCCTCAAATTACTTTCCTATATCTCTCCTTCCATTCACAGCCAAATGCCTAGAAAACACTGTCTATACTTGCCTTCATTTTCTCTCACTCTTTTCAACATCTTGCAATTTGGCTTCCAACCTCATCACAACCAACATCATATTGCAAATATTTTACAGATGTATTTTTAAATTCACTTACCTCTTATAAAGCATAGAGACGGCATATACAGTATAACTAGGTATATATACAAGTATATATAAAGTATATATATATGATATACATTGTATATGTGTCTATATTTATACATACATATGTATATACACATATATGTGCATATATACATATATGTATATGTATGTGTGTATATATATATATATATATATATATACACATTTGTCGTTTAGTCATTTCAATTGTGTCCAACTCTTCTTTATTTATTTGTGGTTTTCTTGGCAAAGATATTAGAATGGTTTGCCATTTCTTTCTCTAGCTCATTTTACAGATGAGGAACTGAGGCAAACAGGGTCAAGTGATTGGCCCAGGGTCACATAGTAAGTGTCTGAGGCTAGATTTGAACTCAGGAAGATGAATCTTCCTGACTCCAGGCCTGGCACTCTGTCCACTGTACCACCTACCTGCCTCATGATGAGAAGAGAAACACAGTAATAAATCATTGGGACAGCTGTAAATTGATGTAGTTATTTTGGAAGGCAATTTTGAGTTATACAAAAAAATTAACGTTGCAAACTCCTGGACATATTGTACCACAGAGATTAAAAACAGAAAGTACTGATTACTTATTTTTCTTGGGTTGGTGTTCATTTACTCTTTCTGAAATAGACTGGATTTGCAAGATGTTCTCTCTAAAAATTGGTTATTTCTTCCTAGCTATTATGCTACCAGATGAACCATGATAATCTTGGATTATGGAACATATGTAACAAAATATTTCTAGCAATACTTTTTATAGTAACAAGACTGGAAACAAAATAGGTGAAGGAATTAGAACCAGGATAATAATATTCTGCTAGGTCCCTTTTGGTGTGAATAATAAAGTATGTATTTGAATTCCTATTATTCGAAGTTGTAGTTACGTCAAATAAGGTTATCGGTTCCAGCATAATGATGCAGTGTGAATTCAAATGATGTAAAAATTCATTATTTGTGTAACTGAGTCCCAAGGCCCAATGATATGGGACTTTCATAATTGGTTAAAATCAATGCCCTACACCTGCATAAGAGTGAGGTGGAGTTGGTAACAAGGAAAGATAAAAGAGCTCCAGTCTCTTCAGTCATTTTGAGTCTCTTCAGTTTCTTTGAGTTTCTTGAGTCATTTTGAGTTATGTAGCTACTTTGCGTGCTTCTGGCTTCCAGTTCCAAGAGAAAAGATGGACAATGCCAACTCCCACTCAGGTTGCTGAAAGGAAAACTAAGATCCTGGAAAGAAGCTGACTGCAGAGGAGCTGGCAGTCTCCATCACGTCCCTATCCCCAGCTTGTGCCACCAGAGAACTTTGAGGAACTTCCCCTGGGTTGAGATACAGATCTCTCTTTGTTCTCAGTAGGAGAGCTCATTTATTCTGTATTGTCTATTACATATTCTCCAATGTATACTTTCTCTGATTTCTGTTTTGCTATTGATTTGGATAAATTTGGGTAAATAACTACTATGTGGGTTCATTGTGGAACTGGTATTAGGTAGGAAAGGGATCAAGCCTAGGAAATAAAGCTTGGGGTCTTTCTTTTCTCCAGTTAATGAAAAGCAGTCAGAAGTTTAGCTTGAACCTGAAAACCACATCCCCCTAGACTAATAATATTTAAGGAAGCAGATAGATATAATTCTAGCCTGGCATCCCCTCTCTCTAAAGAGAGCAGAGTGGCCAAGCTTCTGATCCTAACCTCCTGCATCCCCTTCTGGCATTATTTAAAGTAAGAGGGAGAAGAGGCTGGAGATGTTTATTCTGTCTCTCATGCAAAATGACACCCTCATAAGGCCTCATTACATTTGTACTAATTAGGATCTAGTTGTTTATTTATTTATTTTTTGGCTAGGCAAAGGGGTTAAGTGACTTGCCCAGGGTCACACAGCTAGTAAGTATTATGTGTCTGAGGCTGGATTTGAACTCAGGTCCTCCTGAATTCAAGGCCAGTGCTCTATCCACTGCACCACCTAGCTGCCCCAATTAGGACCTAGTTGTATACAATGACTACAATAATGCAAATGGAAAACAACCCTAAAAGGAAGGTGAACTTAGATTAATTGCAATGATCAATCTTGATTCTGGAAAACAAATGATGAAATAGTCTTTCCTTCTCTTGGTAATGACATTTGTTTTACTGTTTTTCTTTATTACAAGGAAGAGTTAGACATGAGGGAAGAACATCAGGAAATGACTGTGATATAAAAAACAAAGGCAAGATAAAAACAAATGAATGCTGTGAAAAGGATTTGTATAAAATGGAAATACAAGAATGAATTATGTATCAATATCTATTGAGTAAAAGCATATACAGATTAGTGATATTTATTAATATAGTCTAAAATCTCTTATCCATAAGACTAAAATGATCTTTTTCTGTATTAAAAATGGTGATTGAATGCATAGTAAAAGTTCCTGCCCTCAAGGAGCTTAAATTCTAGTGGGCACCAGGTTCAGGGGCACCAGGCAGAGAAAGTCCTATGGAGATGACTCAACAGTGCAGCCTAGAGAGGATGAAGCGATTTTTGGGCTGAATTTCCTCCTTAAATTGGAAGTTCTTGGAGGAACCAGTCAATCAGAAAAGTCCTCCCCCTATATGTGACCCTTACCTTTCACCATCTGGGGCACTTGTCTCTCATCTTCTAGCAAAACTTTAATATGTTCTCTGAGTTGCTGACTCAGATCAGTATTTCCAGACACAGAGTAAGGCACAATGGTTTGGCCATATTGTTGCAAACTCATCTCTAATTTAGGGTCATCTCGCACTTCTGAATAGAAGGTGATGGCTCTCAGAAGTATGGCAGTGAATGTCAGAAGTACCAAAATTTGCAGTAGTATTAACTTCCAATTACGCACACTGAAGGTAGCCCTCTTCACTAACATGGCATAGAACTGCTGGCTGTAGACATAAATCTAAAAAGCAGAGAGAAATAAAGTATTATAATGGTTACTGAATCATAGAATTTTAGAGTTGGAATAGACCTCAGGGGTCATCCTGTTGAACTCAAATGCTATAGGAATACCCCTTGAAACATACTCAGCTGCAAGATATTTACACTGAAACTCCTTGTAGCTTACAATATGACTAGTTTAATAGTGTTAAAGAACAAAGAACAGAGAGGTATTCCTGAACAGAGTGCCTTGGCCAACACAAGTAGTGTAGCAGAGGTAATCAAAATAAGCAGACTAAACTAAAAAGTTTCTGCTTATGTTTACAAAAATATTTGATGAAAGAAAGATTGATTTCTGAAATCACCATTTATCACATACTCACAAGACTAAAAAAAACACCAAACAACTCAAAACAAGGACAAGAATTCCCCCTGAACATACATTGAACATCTTCATGCATCATGAAGAAAAGAATAAAATCTCTCATATAAGCATAGTTGTTATATTGCACAAATGAATAATTCCCACAAAACCTGGAAGTGCCAACTTCCATTGTCTGTTTTTACCACATACAAACGGTGCAGTGTGTGGAGACAGAAAAAGCCCTGGCCTGAGAGTCAGGAGGCCTGATTTCTAACTTTATTTTTACCATTAACTAGCTATGTGTCCTAGGGGCAAATCACCTCTCTAGACCTTCCTCTCTCTATTTATAAAGTCAGAGAGGGAGATTCAGGGACTTATAAAGTCCTTTCTAGTTCAAGCATTCTTAGTTCTATTTATCTAGAACACCATGGCCAAACTAAAAAAAGGTCATAACTTAAAAGCAGAGGTTCTTAATCTTTTTTTTTTTTGGTATCATGGGCCCCTCTGATAGTTTGGTGAACTCTGTGGACCCCTTCTCAGAAGAATATTTTTAAATTTATAAACTAAAATACATAAAATGACAAAGGAAAACAATTACATTGAAATCAAGACTCAGTCTTAAAACATTTGTTGAGCACCTACTATGTGCCAGGCACTGGGCTAAAGTTCTAGGGATACAAAAAGAAGCAAAAGGCAGTCTTGGCTCTCAAAGAGCTCACAATTTAATAAGGGAGACAACAAACAAATATGTACAAAGGAACTAGATACAAGGTAAGTAGGAAGTAATTAAAAGAGGATTAAGAGCAGTTCAGAAAGGTTTCTTGTAGAACAGAGGTGTCAAACCCTTTACCCACAATACTCCAAGAATTGCCCAAACCAGATTAAAAGTTAATTGGGAAATATTTAACAAAATAATTAAAAATACATTTTAAAACTAAGTCAATATGCAGCCTGCAAGGATCTTTATGTACCAATTAATGGTCCTCCTTTCTATTTGAGTTTGACACTACTGCTAATATAGAGCCTTGAAGGAAGCCAGGGAATTCAGGAGATAGAGAAGAGGAGGAAGAGCACAGGGGACAGCAAGAGAAAATGCCTGAAGTTGAGACATAGAGAGCCTTGTTCGTGAACAGCAAGAAGGTCAACATTAACGGGTCAAAGAGTATGTGGAATGGAATAAGATGTAAGAAGACTGTTAAGGTAGGTCATGAAAGGCTCTGAACACCAAAAGTGGATTTTATATTTGATGCTGGAGATGACAGGGTACCACTGGAGTTTACTAAGTATAAGGGTAGTACGCAAATAAACCTTGCATCTCAGAGTTCCTAAAGTTCAGGCATCCAGGAGAAATGGCAGTTACAATAAATGGAAGGATGATTTTTCCAGCTAACACATATATTTCTGTATACCTGTTTTCTCAGGCCTGATGACCATTAATAATCATTTCGCATGTCAACCTGCACATGCATCAGAGGATGCCAATAAAATAAAAATTGAAATAAAAATTCTAATTAATTTGAAATAGAAATTTATCTTAAAACTGCCCAATTTAACCTTCTCTGAGTTCCTAATAAATAATGTAACTATTAATTTTAGTTTGTTGCCCCAAAGAAGCTTTCCTTTTTGGGGAAGTAATATACTAGCCTATAGAGACGTAAAAGTTAAAATTCAACATGTAAATTAATAGACACAGTATCCCACTATGTTTAATTAGCATGAAATCACTTTAGCTAACTCAAAATTGCTTACTAAACTCTGGAAGAACTAGCAACCAAATTCTTGGGTGACAGAGTTGAAAAATCACATTTTAAAGCAAAAATATATGACCCAGAATGATGACACTAGTAAGAACAGCAAATATAATATTTTCCAAAGTTTTCCTTGTAATAACATATTGTGGTGTAGCCTCTGCACCACAAAGTTACTTGAATAGCACAGAACAGTCAATATATACTAAATCCGGCTGAATATTCCACTGATGATATTTCTAACTTTTTAGTTCAAATATTGAAATCAAAACATGTACCTTGCTTGCTAACCAAATCTTCCAGGGTTACAGTTCCAAGTAAGATTGCTTACCCCTGTATTGAATTTGACAGAGTGGTAGTGGTGCTCATGGTGCTGCTTGCCATCTTGTTTGTTATCGTCTTCATCACTGTCACTAAGATAAATACCCATGTCATCTCCTTCTAACAACATTCTGCTGGCCTGTCTCAGGAACTCTTTATTCGAGGCAGACAGTTGGATGGCTTGGAGATCCATCCTGGAATCCACCATCTTACCAACCCTGTACCAAAAAGCAGGAAACTGAAAATTCAGTTGCATTTTGCACGGCAAAAATCTTACTCAGGGATATGTAGTGGTTCTAAAGCTTGTGAAAGTGCTTAAAAGGTCTCTGAGGAGCATGTATGGTAGGTCTTAAAATCATTTACAAACTACAAAGTCAAAAGAATAGTAAAGATAATTATAAAGTTTTATATTATATCATCCCTGATTTTTTAATTGACTATCCATTGCTATAAAAGTGCTTCTGTACTTTCTGATCTTTCATCTAGCTATAAAAAATTAAGTCCATTATTCAAGAACAAAAAGGATGAAGTCAAATGGGAAAAATTTGTTTCAGCAATCCTGCAGGAATGGAATTGACACAGGTTATAAAGAACAACAACAACAAGAAAAAGTAAACTCCACAAATAATGAAGAATTTTTTTGCTAGCTGAACTTTGTTTCCACCTTCACATATATCTTTAATAACTTAAGCTCGATACAACTTAGTCTACTGACAATTTCCTTTCCATGGAGAATTTTGTCATGGAAGCACTGAATTTCAGTTGGAAGGGATATCAGAAGATATTTAGATTAACCCATGCCTGACCAGAAGTCCCCTCTATAAGCTTAAATTTGACTCTGTGTTACTTTCAACTAATGTTTCTAGCTCTTCTCCCTACAGCCAAGCATGACAAGTCAAACAAGGACTTCAATGCTACCCTCTCCAGTATTCCTGATTTCTTCTTATCCCCATGACTTCCCACTATTCCCAACTAACCTGCTAAGCCCTGTGCCTGGATCATCTCATCCATCTACTTCTATACTTGTATTTCAAAGTAATATAAAGGAAAGTCCTCGAACTGAATAGATATAAACTATTCAAGGTTCACATTTTTCTCATTTTAACAAGGAACTTGCTACTGCAAGGAAGTGCTCTCATTTACTCTGTGCTCATATACATACATACCTACATACATATCTGCATCTCGCTTCCTTGAAATTTTTTTTCTTTAAATCCCCAGTTCCTCTGTACCTCACTGATTTTATATTGTATCTCATTAATGTGTGTGTATGTGTGTGTGTGTGTGTGTGTATGTGTGTGTGTGTGTGTGTGTGTGTGTGCGCGTGTGTGTGCAGGAGAGAGCGAGAGAGAGCGAGCGAGAGAGAGAGAGAGAGAGAGAGAGAGAGAGAGAGAGAGAGAGAGAGATTCCCCTTCAGCAAACAGTCCAGGCCATATATCCACGGAACATATCCATGACTCTGCCTTTACCTTTTAAGCTCTCTTGTGTTCTTTGAGAGGTGTTAAAAACTTCCATTTATACTCTATCTCAATTACTCAGTTGACAAGCATTTATTAAATGTTAGTAAGTCAACAAGCACTTACTAAGTACATCCTCTGTGCCAGGCACTGGGCTAAGTGCTAGAATGCAAATATAAGCAAACAAAAGACAGTTCCCATCCTCAAGGAGCTTACATTCTAATGGGAAAGATGACACAAATAAGGAAGCTGAAACAGGTAAGGGGAGAGGAAGGTATGTTAAAGTTCAGAATGCAGCTTGGTGAGACATGAAAAGACAGCTGGTCCAGTTATCTTTAAATGGAGCTTCTGGTGGGGTACTTCAGAAAAGCAAATTCCTGGCCTAAGTGATCTTCCAGGATGAAGAGGTGAAGTCCTGGGTACAACCTGGTAAGAAGTATTAAGTGCTGTGCTAGTTGCTGGGGATACAATTATAAAGAATGAAATAATCCCTGCTCTCAAGGGGCTTACATTCTATCACATCTAACTAATCAATAAACCTATTATGTGCCAGGCACTGTGTTATGCACCAGAGATACAAGGAATAAAAAACCCCCCAAATTATTTCCTAACTTCAAGAAGATTACATATTGGATGGAGGGGGAAGTGACATATAAAAAAAAATAAATGTACAAACTATACACATAATAAATACAAAGTGATTTTTTAGGAGAGAAGCACTAATAACTGGGAGAATCAGAAAAGACCAATGGAGCTGAGCCATAAAGAGGGCTAGTGGTTCCAAGAGGCAGAGGTGAAGAGGGATATTATTCTAGGCTGTGGAAGGACAGCTGGGAAAAAGTCAGGGAGTGGCTTTTTGTAGTGCAAAGAATTGGAAATTGAGTGAAAGCCTATCAATTGGGGAATGAATGAACAAATTCAGGTATGTGATTGTGATGGAATACTATTGTGCCATAAGAAATGATGAGCAGGATGCTTTCAGAAGAACCTGGAAAGATTTATATGAATTGATGCAAAGTGAAGTGAACAGAACTAGGAGAACATCATACACAGTAACAGCAATATTATACCATGATTAACTGTGAATGACTTACATATAAGAGCCATTCTTCAATTGATAAATGAATGGTCAAACGATATGAGCAAGCAGGTTTCAGAAGAAGAAATCAAAGCTATCAGCAGTCACATGAAAAAATGTTCAAAATCACTATTGATTAGAGAAATGCAAATTAAAATAATTCTGAGGTATGTCACCTCATACCTATTAGATTGGCTAACATGAAAGAAAAGGAAAATGACAAAGGCTGGAGGGATGTGGGAAAATAGGTATGTTAATACACTGTTGGTAGAGTTGTGAACTGATCCAGCTGTTCTGGAGAACAATCTGGAACTGCATTCCAAGGGCTATAAAACTGTGCATATCCTTTCACCTAACAATACCATTACTTGGTCAGTATCCCAAAGAGATCAAAGAAAAGGAAAAAGGACCTATATGGACAAAAGTATTTCTGGTGGCTCTTTTTGTGGTGGCAAGAATTGAAAATTGAGGTGACGGCCACCAATTGGGGAATGGCTAACATAGATAGTCTCCTAAGTTTAGGTTACCTATAAAGTTAATGAATAGACAGATTGAGAAAACTTTATCATTTAGTAACAGATCATTTAGAATAAGACATAATAAAATAATTATAGGATTACTCTTTTTAAAGACTAAATTCCCCTTTCTAGTTTCTAGCAGAAAGGGGTGTTGACCAGAGGCTAAGTTCCCCTTTCCGGCAGCTGGAGAAAGGTTGGCCAGAGGTTAAATTCCCTAGTCTTAGTGGATTAGCTCCTTTTTTTTTTTTCTTGAGCTGGAGTCTAAGTTAAGTAATGGAATCTTCTAAGTGGGAAAACAGGGTGCTGATTTCTAACTACTGACCACAAGTTCCTTTTTCCCAGTACATTTTCTTGTTTCAAAAGATACCACTTTTAAGGAAAAGACTTCTGGGTAGGATTAAGAAAGGCTGGCAGAAGCTAACTAGTCAGGAGACCTGCCTTGTCCAATTGAATTATGTTCAAAACAAGGTTCTGTCATTTTTAAAATTCTTCTTTTTAAACCCAGTTCTGTAAATCACTCCCTGTCTCTGATCTCTGAGGAGTCAGATGATCTGATATGATATGCAAATGTTAGCTTTGCAAATTAAATCATAGATGGTTTGTAACTTTGTCCTCAGTTTCCTTTATATTCCAGATAATTAATTTTTAAGAGTTGCAAGCCTCTCAGTGCTATAGGCAGCTCACTAAGCCTTTATATTTTTTAAAAAATTAATTTTCTTTTCAACAAATGAAAATCCATTTCTTTCTCTTCTACCACCTTGAAAAAGAAATAAAACAAAACTCTTGTAACAAGTATATTGGCTTGTATCTAAGGTTTCTGATTGTGTTGATCAGAGTTTCTGAGACTTTCCAAGTTGTTTGTATTTAAAATATTATTGTACAAATTATTCTGCAGCTTCTGTCCTCTGCACTGCATCATTTCATATGTCTTCTCACATTTACTGAAACCATCCTCTTTTTTTATCCCCATACAAACATGTCTGGCACATAGTAGGGGCTTAATGTTTACTGTTTGATTTCTTACAGCCCCAACTGTATTTTATCATATTCATTTGCCATATTTTGTTCAACCATTCCCCAATTAATGGCTACTCCATTAATTTCTAATTCTTTCCCAACACAATAAGAACTGCTAAAATATTTTTGTACATATGGGTCCTTTTTCCTCTTCTTCCTTTGATTTCTTTGGAGGATAAACCTAGTGGTGGTAATGCTGGATCAGTTGCATGCAGAGTTTTGGTAACTTCTTGGATATAGCTCCAAATTGCTTTCCAGAATGGATAGATCAGTTCATAGTTCCACCAAAAGTGCATCAATGTGACTATTTCCCAACATTTGTCATTTTTCTTTTTTTCTCCACCTTGTCAACCTGATGGAACATCAGAGTTGATTTAATTTGCTTTGTTCTAGGTATCAGTGATTTGGAGTATTTTCTTTATATGGCTTTTAATAGCTTGGATTTCATTTTCTGAAAACTGCTCTTTCATATCTTTGGATCAATTTTATCAATTGGGGAACAGCTCTTATTCTTCTAAATTTCAATCAGTTCTCTTTATGTTTGAGAAATGAAACCTTTATCAGAGAAACTTTCTTTAAATATTTTTTTTCCATTTACCTGCTTATCTTCTAACTTTAGCTGAATTGGTTTTGTTTGTGTCTAGGGCTCTTGTTTTGGTTATGGCATTCAGATAGTCCAATGATTCTTAAAATTTTTCTTCTCAATCTGTTTTGTAGGTCAGTGGTTTTTGCTATGAAATACTTAACATTTTCTTCTATTTTTTTTTGGTCTTTTGATTTTGTTTTAATATTTCTTTTTGTATCATGAAGTCATTGGCTTCTTTATGGTCCATTCCATTTTCGGAGAGTTTGTTGCTTGGGCAAGGTTATGTACCTCTTATGACAAGCTACTAATTCCCTTTCTGATTCTTTCTTCCACAGTGCTCTCTCTCTCTCTCTCTCTCTCTCTCTCTCTCTCTCTCTCTCTCTCTCCTCTCTCTCACACACACACACACACACACACACACACACACACACATAATTCTCTTCCATTTTTTCCTCAAATACTCTCAATTCCATTTATAAAAACTTTTTTTTAAACTCTTGCTTTGGAGGAAGCCAATATAGTGGAGTAAAAGGAAGTAATGAAATTGAGCTCCTGTCCACAATTCCTCCAAAGAGATCTATAAAATGCACTAAACCAAATTCTGATAGAGAAATCCAGCCTTTGTCCTTTGTCCAGCCCAGGCAAGCATATGGAGACAGAGAAGTCTGCAGACACTGGGGACAGGACCAGAGCAGGAGACCAGTGTGAAGCATTCTAGCACCTAGGGAGAAGCTGTGTACCAGCATAAAATTAGAAATTCTGGAATCATTCTCTTCTTCCAGGTTTATATCATGAGCATCCCTGTTACCATAGTAGCTTTTCAGGATGAAATTCTTTTTTTTATTTGCTCATCATTCCAGCCTATTTCCTAATTCCCAATCTGATGTCAGAGTTAGGTTCTGCATTTCTGGAGAGAAGGTTTGGGCAGGCTCATTTGCTGCTTTTTTTGGTATACCAAAAGTTGTGTTATTCCAGTATCTCAGGGAAACTCAGGTTAGTGACTAAAAGCTTTCAGTACTCCAAAAGTGGCCTATTTTAGGGCAAAGTCTAATTTTTGCACCCTTGCTCTGAGTTCTGCAAATTTTTTACATAGGTTTTTTGGTCTGCTGCTTGACTCAGCCACTGAGAAATTCTGCTGCTTCTAAAGCACAAAACTACAGATTCTTCCTTTGGTTTGGGATTCCTACCCTAAAACCACTGCATCATTTTGACTGGGCTAGAATTTAAACCTGAGACCCTTCTCTGTTCTTGGGATTTGAGCCACAACATTGCTGTTTGCTTCTGAATTTGCTCTTCACAGACTAGGCCTATGGTGCACCTATCTTAGAAAGCCACCCCCTTGACAAGGTCCTTTTCTTCAATCTGCCTGGGATCTATGACTTAAAATTGTGTAGTAGTTGACAAAGCTGCCATATGGTAACTATTCTCACTCTTTGCAATGCACTTGCATGGGTATGGGGTTGACCGCATATGATGTGGGACCCCCTTTTGCCCCAGTGCACAGCTTCTCCTAGCTCCAGAGTGCTCCACCTATAGCTGCTCCAGACTAAACGCATCCTCAGCATCCACAGACCTTTCTGTCTGTTTCCTATGCCAACCTGGGTAGGAAAAATGACTCATATGACTTTTTTCTTGTATTTCTCCATCAGGAATTGATCTGTCTCGATGTGTTTAGAGGAGTCTTTTTTTGGGGGAGAGGGAAGGGTGGAAAGCTTGCTATACTGTTTACTCCATCATCTTTCCTCTGCCTCTCCACAATAACATTTCATTTATATTAACATACCACAATTTGTCCAGCCATTCACCAAAAATGGGGACCCTCTTCAGTTTCCAGATATTTTCTTTTCTTTGAATGTCCACTTCCACATCATAAAGTATTTTTGTTTTTGCTTGCAACTATTTCTTCTACAGTATTATTCTCTTCCTCTATTTCCACCTGTTTCCCTATAAAGTTTGTGATATATTCTACACTAACTCTGTGTGTTTGACCCTCCTTTGTCCAGTTCACATAAGTTATCTAATACCTGCTTGTTTTTTCACTCTTCCATCCATAGTGATATAATGTTCTCATGCACCCTCAATTATAAGAACTAGTAAAGTTCCATTACCTTCTTTCTCTTTCCTAAACAACTGTATTCCTTTTACCTTTCTTTTTTTTTCCATCTTAAAAACCCTCAGAACAGAACTAATCCACTCTCAGTTCCTCTGCTTTTATTTAACTCCCTCAATGCCATTTGAATACATTAAAATTCTGACAGGACACTTGTTTCTTCTCTCTGTATTAATATATATGCTCTCAATTATATATCCCTTCCCATTGCTCAAAAAAATTTAACTTTCTAGTTTTCTCTTGAGTCTTGACTGTCCATTTCAACATTTCTGCTCAGCTCTGCTATTTTTATCAGGAATTCTGGAAATTTTTCTATTCCACCAAAGGTCCATCCCTCTCCTGTAGGATTATGTTCACTTCTACAGGTTAGATTATTCTTGGTTGTAAGATCATATCATATATGCCTTTTGGAATATTATATCTCATACCTTTCAGCATTCTCTTTGGGTAGGATAAATGATAACTCAGCTCCAACATTACCCTCCATTGTGGCATTTGGTACATAGTGATAAATCAGTTCGGAAATTTTCTTTATTTCACATTGAGGTTCCTTCACCATGATCAAGTGGTATCCAGCACCTGAAATAATTTTAAAAATCAAGTGAAAGGTTTACTTTTTCTATCACCTTTGATAGACCACATGTGGCAGCTCCAATGGAAAAGGTAATTGGAGAGTCATAGGTAACTTGGCTACGATTGTAAAGAGATTTTTCCTAGAGCCTGTAAATGCTACTCTCAAGTTTTCACCTCAGATGGTGAATGTTAAACACAGGACTTAACCTAGAAAGAGTATTTTCATGAGTGTATAATCAAGCAGGTGAGGAAAACCCTTGGTATGATACCCTAGAATCACTAAATGTTGGAGTAAAGGTCAAAGACATTTGTAGGGAAGATAATTTTGGGGTCTGAATAAATATTTCTCATGGTAATTTCTTTCAGGGAGTAATATCTATCTGATGCCTGGAACTAGGTTTAGAAGTAGCAGAAAATGGAATTTTTGAGAAGAAAAGTTTCTGTAATATAGCTTCCATTCTGCTTCCTGCCCTCCCACTAAATTTAAACTTGCTTTATTAAAGGTCAGCAATGATAAATCCAAAAGTTTTTTCATAATCTTCATTCTCCTTCACCTATGCTTTGATTAGGTATTGTTGAACATTTCACTCTTGGAAATTCTCTTTTCCTTTATTCCCCTAATACTCTTTCTACCTTTTCTAGAGCTCCATCTTTTTTTTTCCTTCATTGTCTTATGTCATAATAATAAGTATTTATTCAGGCTAAGTTCCTGGACCTCTGCTATTTTCTCTCTATACTTCATTCCTTAGGGAATTCACATTCTCATGACTTCATATACAAAATTTATGCTAATAAGGTTCTAAATCTAAAACAGAATTAAATAGTGATTAATATTAGTAAAAAGATTGGTGAGAAAGTCCCTGACTTTCATATATATATATATATATATATATATATATATATATATATATATGTGTTGTATTTCTTTAAATCTTGCTTTTAATTGGGAATAACTGTTTCTAATTCATAGATTTTAAAATCTGTTATTTTAATAGCAATAATTTAACAATAATTTTCTTTTTTATATTAAAGCATAAGGAAAGCCTTGGCACTCAGATAGGGGATATATAATCCATAACACAGGCATACCACTGTTGACCTGATGGCAATTACACATATTGAAGATGTAAAACCTAGGACAAAACAGCCTTCGTAAAAGTAACCTTACAAACCGAAATCTATAGAATGAGGGCATCATCTCAAATCTTTATATTTAATATTCCAATATTTTTTTCTCTTATACCACCCAAATTTAGGGGCTTCTGCCTAATACCTAGCACTAACTGGGTTATCATTTGCTCATTTCTCTTCCTTCTCCTGGTTACCAATGGTATCAGTTGGTTATCCTGCTAACCAAGCTTGTATTCCTTAAAGAACATTTAACTATATCTCTTCTACTTAAAAATACACACTTGCCTCCTGAATAAAATAAAATAAAATCCAAATTTATATTTCAAGTCTGCCATAACCTAGCCTTAGATTTCTGTTACTTTATTTCTGTTACCTTTATTTTCCACTGTTCCCCTTTAGGAACCCTTTATTCCAGCTTAGTTTCCTTACTCATAGACCATGACCTCTCTCCCCTCTATTCATTTGTTTACATTGTTTCCTCTTCATTAAATGCCCTCTTCTTCCTTCTGACAATCCAAACACAGTTTATTCTACAGTTTATAGTTCAAGTCTCATCTCCAACAGAAAATCTTACTCTACTACTCTAATTCACAAAGATCTTCTTTGTAAAAATCTTACAAACAATATAAACATTTAATTATACGATATATTGTAGCTGTTTCATGGGTCTTGCCTCTCCAACTAGATTGTGAGCTCTTCCGGAGCAACGATTTCACAAGTAGGCCATGTACTTCCTGTCCCCACCAGTTACAAAAAGAATGCTGGGCATATTTCAGGAACTAAAATGAAAGTGATCTGTAAATCATGTCCTTTCATTAAGGTGAGTATTTGAATTGGTCTACCCAGGGAAAACAAAGGGCTGAGATATTGGATATGGTAGTACATTCTATACATAAGGTGGAAATGAGCATGATATATCTGTGGGCTAGTGATATGATTTGCCTGACTAGAATAGAGGGTACATATATCAGAAAATAGTGCTAAATAAGTTTGGAGAGTTAAAATGGAGTCAGATAACAGAAGGTGAAGTAGGCAGAAGAATTTAAATATGATACAATGGGAAATGGGAAACTATTTTAATTTTTAGTTTAGTTTTACTGAGGAAATTCATTATGAAAATCATAACTAAGAAAGATTAGTCTAGCAGCAGTATGTTGGTAGGATCAAAGGGGGGGAAAACTAGAGAGACCATATTTGTGTTTGAGGAATAGTGAAGAACCACAGCACTGCAGGTCTCCGTTGGCCATAATGGCAATGCGGTCACCCAAGAGGTCAGCCTCATCCATATGGTGGGTGGTCAGCAGGATGGTACGGTTACTTTTCTGTTGCTGAAGGAGATTCCAGGTAGCCCTTCTTGAGATTAAATCCATACCAGATGTAGGTTCATCTAGCATTACAACCTACAGGCCAGAAAAGAGAACTTAGTGACATTGGTAACTGGTGCTATACCATATGTGGAATCTCTTACTATTCATGGAGCCCAGCTTAGATTCACTTTGTATTCGTTTTTCTGGTTAAGGTAAAAGATAAAGTGGTTGAGTCATTTGTCTGACTTTAGATAAGTTCAGGCTAAGTCTGAGCTAGTCCTTGGAAACCTTATTACCACACCAATCCCATAACCTTATATCAGACCCATTGTTATTTTCCCTCACTGATTATATCTTAGGAAGTCCTTTTTAGAGGATTATGTTTATAATATCTTACTTAAGTTTTACATAAGCTAATGTTTCTAATTAGATAACAGTAAAGATCATTTTGACCAGATTCATTACCTTAGAGTCTCCTATGAGTGCAATACTGATGCAGAGTTTGCGCTTCATCCCTCCACTCAGTGAATTTGAAAATGCATTTTGCTTTTCTTCCAGATTAAAAATACTCAACATGTGATCAATTTCATTTTTTAAATTCTTTTTAGAAAATCCTTTCAGCTAAAACACCAAGACAGAACATTTAAGTAGTCTTCTAAATTTGAATACGAATCTTAAGAGTTAGAACTAGCAGAGACCTTAGAGATAATTTACTGTCATATGACAGATGATGAAATTAAGGTCCATAAAAGCAAAGTGACTTGCCCCATGCTCAATAAGTGACAGAGTTGGGATCTGTCTTCTAACCCTAGATCCAAATACTCTTCCCACTCAACTACACTGTAACAACTTAGAGCCACTTCAGTTTCAGATGTTCTCTCCCCACTGGTCTTATTTTGTTTTAAAAAGATTAACAGTGCTATGCATTGCAAAGAGTGCAAGATTTGGACCTGAAGGATCTACCTTTTAAATCCTGGGAAAATCAAGTAACCCCTTTTGGGCCTCAGTTATTTATTTGTAGAGGGTTTGGGCTAGAGGACTTCTAAGTTCCTTTCCAGCTATAAATCTATGAGAATACTATTTTGGGTCATTCTAAGGGCGTTTTTCTTAGACCCATCACCCCCAAGTATGTGAACAGAGAAAAAAATTTTCTCTTTGGATTACCATAGCGAAGAAGTAAAGATGTTCTGATACAGTCAAGTAATCAAACAAGAGGTTGCGCTGGGGGCATAAACCCAGGTTCTTTCGGATCTCAGCCATTTCCCTTGTGATTTCAAAGCCGTTGATATACGCCTGTCCACTTGTGGGAGGATACAGACCTGAGGATCAGCCAAAAGACATCTCAGAAGCTTCTCTGCAGTAACAGAAGTTCTGTTTTCAAGTTCTCATAAGAAATCAGACTAAATGGATCCCTTCTACTTTAACCAATTTGATTCAATAAATAATTATTTAATGCTACTATATGTAAGATAATGATTTAAGTACTGGAGATAATAAAATATTATATAGTCCCTACTTTCAAGGAGATTATATACTATTGGGGGAATTATCATGAAGATCAATAAAAGTGGAAGGGAATGATAGATCCAGGGAAAACACATCAGGGAAATATATGTGAAGAAAAGACTTTTAGCTGGGGTATTAGAAAAGGCTTCATCCAGGAGGGAGCATTTGAACTGAGCATAGATAGAAGAGGAAGATTTTGAAATTCAGAGATCTGTAAAGTATGCATTCCAGGTATGCTTGTGCAAATGCATGAAGGTAGGAAAAATATCCTTGGTACTCCCCCCTTTTTTTTTTAACGGTTATATACATATTTGTTGCCTTGGATCACACCCTCTCACCCAAGCTAAATGGAGGACTGGCTGGGCCAAATGCTGGTAAAGAGGCCAGTGTTCTGCTCCCATCCCTCCCACCTCTCAGATGCTTCACTCTGGCTATAATAGATCCAAATGGGGCCAGAAGTGTGTACTGAGGAGAGGAAGCCAAAGAGGACACGCTTGGCTTGAAAAGGGTATAGAGGTAGGAGAGAGAAGATAACAAGTTCTTTGATGGCAGAGGCTATCTTTCTTTTTTCGTACTTGTATCCTTAGTGCCCAGACCATTGCTGGGTACTAATAGGCACTTAATAAATGTTAGTTACTATTGAGTATATTGAGCTTAGGGAACAGCTAGTAGCCCAATTTGGCTGTAAAGTATGGCACATGAAGAAGAACAATGTGAAATAAAGCCAGAAAGATGAACTGGAATGATATCATAAAGGACTTTAAATGACAGGCTGAAAAGTCTGGATCTTATTTTAGGGCAATAAGAATTCATTGAAAGTTTCTGAACCCAGCAGAGTGACTAAATCCAACTTAAATCTTAAAACAATTATTTTGACAGCTGCATGAAGGATGGCATGATGAGTAGAGAGACTATAATAGTCCAAGTGAGAAGTAATTAAGATGTGAACTATGGTGGTGGTGGTTTGAATGAAGAGGGGACGGATATGAAAAATGTTGCAAAGGTGGAATGACAGGACTTGGTGATAGAATGGCACTAGGAGGTTACAAAGAGTAAATAATTTAACATGGCTCCAAGGTTTCAAACCTACATGACTGGAAAGATGGTTACACCACTACAAGAAATAGGCAAGTTAGAAGGGTGATGGAAGAAATTTATGAGTTCAGTTGTGGGCATGATGAATTTGAGGTGTGCATATGATACTCAGGGAAGGAAATCCAGTGGCAGTTGGGAGACATGTGATTGCAGCGCAAGGGAGATATATTAAGTTTGAATTTATTAAGGTGGTGATTAAACCCCTGGGAGCAGATTAGGTCGCTAAGGAAGAGAGTGTAGAAAGAAAATGGAAGTGGACTTGGACTGAGACTTGGAGGTTGCTCATGCATGTTTAGATGGTAGGAGAAGGATAATGAACTAGCAAAAGAGATTGAAAAGTAATTGAGAGCAGTATCATGAAAGGCAAGATAAGAAAGTTTATCCAAAAGCAGAGGGTGGAAAACAGCACTGAAAAATAAAGAACAAGAAAGGAGGATGAAGAAAATTTTTTAATTAAGAGATCATTAGTGACTTTTGTTGAAGTAAATTCAATAGAGTAGTAGGGTCAGAAGTCATATTGCGAGGGGTTGAGAAGTGAAGTGGTGAAGAAATGGAGGCGATGACTAAAGGCAATTCTTTTTAGGAGTTTAGCAGCCAGAAAAGGAGATATACAACATGGGGATGGCTGGGTTAAGCAATTTTTTTTTTTGTCGAGGCAATTGGGGTTAAGTGACTTGCTGAGGGTCACACAGCTTGTAAGTGTCAAGTGTCTTGTATGAGATTGGATTTGAACTTAGGTCATCCTGACTCCAGGGCCAGTGCTCTATCCACTGCGCCACCTTGCTGCCTCCAAAATTTTTTAAAGCTAGGGGCTACCTGAGCACATTTGTAGAGAGTGAGGACACAGCCAGTAGACAGGGAGAGTATGAAGAAGAGACGAGATACTGAACAAGAATTAATGGGAAAACAGGAAAAGTTTGTCAGATATTAGATTTAGACCAGCACTTTACACCAAATACAACAATAAGCTGAAAATGAATGAGCAAGTCAAACACAAAAGTTCTTATCATTCTGGAAAACAATCTGTAATTATTCAAGAAAAGTTAACAAACTGCTCATATTCTTTTAGCCCAGCACCAGATCTTCACTCAAAGGAAATCAAACAGAAAAAGACAGGGCCCTTTATATAAAAATATTGAAAATACCTTTTGTGTTAGTAAAATATTGAAAACAAAATCGGTGCTATTGACTGGGAAATCATGAACTAACTGGGATATACAAATATAATGGAATATTACTGCATTGTGAGAAATGACGAATGTCTCTTGGTGGAGAGGCAGAGCACTATGGGTACTGACTATTGCACATGCTATACTATGGAGCTGCTATGTGGGTGTTTCTTAAAAGTTTTTCTTTGTGAAGATGATACAAATGCAAGTTTTAAATAATGTCTAAGACATACAGTGGCTGAGATGGGGAGCTCCTCAAAATAGAGGGAATTGAGTATGTAAAAATCTCAGGAGCAAGGAAGTCATATGTAGGAAACAAATAAATTAGCTTTTAGGCTGTGAGACTGTGGAGATTATTGTTCTCCTTTATGTTCTGGTCTAGAGGTGACCACCGCATCTGGTACAAAGTGAGAGGTTTTAGTGTGGTATGGTATATAGAAGATTAGGTTCAAAGTTAGGAAATCCTGTCTTGTCTTTGACAGTCATTACCTATGTTATTATGGCGTAACCTCTCAGTGCTCCCAGGCAACTCTCTAAGACTAAATTATAGATGAGTTGCCATTCTGGATTTGTGGAAAGATATTCTATGCTGGAAATGCCCCACGCTAATCAAATGACAAATCTGCCATTCCTCCCCTACAAAATGGTATAGATATCTTGCAAATGACTAAAACCATGATGATAAGGGGGCAGAGCCAAGATGGCAGAGTAAAAGCAGTGACTTGCTTGAGCTCTCCCCAAACTCCTCCAAATACCTGTAAAAAATGACTCTAAACAAATTCTAGAGCAGCAGAACCCACAAAAAGGCAGAGTGAAACAAATTTCCAGCCCAACACAACCTGGATGGTTGATGGGAAATGTTGCACCAGGCTGGGAGAGGAGTACAGTTCACTGTGGGCCATGAAGGCAAAGAGGGGGCCCCAGCAAACCTGGAGCAGGTCTCAGGAAACTGAATCATGGGCAGCTGTGGTGGTTTCCAGACTTCTCAACCCACAAATGCCAAAGACAACATAGAAGGTCAGTGGGAAAGGTCTGTCAGACCTGGGTGAAAGAGGAGGGCAGTCCAGTTCTGGACTCAGCACAGCCCTGGAGCGGTAGCCATAGTGGCAGCAGCTGCTTCTAGAGCTCTTGGCTCACAAATGGTGGGGGGATCGAGCAGCTGATTAGAAGGTGATTGCAGGGATCTCTTTGTTGGCACAAATGCAGGTTCTCTTGCTTTGCTCCTGCTTGGATCTGGGTCATAGTACTGGGTGGCAATTGTGGAGTGAGCAGGAGCACTGGTGAGGTGGAGCTTATGGAAGCAGTGGAGAGAAAATCCTCCTCACAGTTCCAAGGCAGAAAAGAGTGCTTGTAGTCGCTCACAGACCAGAACACAGGCCAGGAGAGGAGTAAACACCTCTCCTTTGATCATACCACCTTGGAAGAACTGAAAATTTACAGGTCCCTAGAAGTATCTCTGAAAACAGCTGCTCAAAACACCTGAAGCTTGGGACAGTACACCCTCCACATTGGAAGCAGAGCTCTATCTTAAAATTGGCCAGGAACATGAGCAGGAAAAAAAATGAGACTACAGAATCTTACTTTGGTGAAAAAGAAGATCAAAACATACAACCAGAAGAAGATAACAAAGTCAAAGCTCCTACATCCAAAGCCTCCAAGAAAAATATGAATTAGTCTCAGGCCATGGAAGAGCTCAAAAAGGATTTTGAAAAGCAAGTAAGGGAAGCAGAGGAAAAATTGGGAAGAGAAATGAGAGTGATGCAAGAAAATCATGAAAAAACAAGTCAACAGCTTGCTAAAGGAGACCCAAAAATTAGTGAAGAAAATAACACTTTCAAGCATTCTTGATGAAAAGACCAGAGCTGAAATTCTTCCTTACAACATGACTAATGTGAATATATGTTTAACAGGAATGTATATGTACAGCCTATATCAGCTTGCATCCTATCTTGGGAGGGAGGCGAGAGGGATGGGGAGAAAAATTTAAAACTCAAAAGCTTATGGAAGTGATTGTTGATAACTCAAAATAAACTATTAAAATAAAAAAAAGGACCAGAACTGAATAGAAAATTTGACTTTCAAATACGAAACTCAAGTGAAGCATGAAAAGGTAACAAGAAAGAGAAATCATAGCAGACTTATTAAAGTTGAACTGTTTATATTCCTACGTGGATTATGTTTGTAACCAGTATTAGAGTAGTTGGAGGGAATACATACACACACACACACACACACACACACACACACACACACACACACACACACACACACACACACACATAGACAGAGAGCATAAAGTGAGTTGAATATGAAGGGATGTTTTCTAAAAAATAAAATTAAGGGGTGAATGAGGATTGTACTGGGAGAAGGAGAAAGGGAGAGGTACAATGGGGTAAATTATCTCACATAAAAGAGGCAAGAAAAAGCTTTTACAGTGGAGGGGAAGAAGGGGGAGGTGAGAGGGAATGAGTGAATCTTACTCTCATCAGATTTAGCTTAAGGAGGGAATAACATACACACTCAACTGGGTATGGAAATCTATCTTACCT